CCTGCCGGGGCCTGCAGCCCGCTGAGTCCAAGGAGTCCCCCGGCCGTCCCTTCCTCCCCTGGGGGCCTAGAGCTGGGACTGGCGGTGGGTGCCGGCGGAGGAAGCGGGGGGAGCTGCAGTAGCGGCGGTTCCAGCCCCTCGTTCTCGGGCACCTATTGCCTGCCCGGCCCGGCGGCCTCACTGCTCTGCAGCCTGGCGCAGCCCCCCGAGGCGCCCTTCGTCTACTTCAAGCCGGCGGCGGGCTTCTTCGGCGCGGGCTGCGGCGGTCCGGAGCTCGGGGGCGCAGGGTCGCCGCCGGGGGGAGCCGCCGTGCAGTCCTCGCCGCTCCCTACACTACTGGACGAGGTGGAGCTGCTGGACCTCGAGAGCTTAGCCGCCTGGCGGGACGAAGACGACTACACCTGGTATTGCCGAGCTCCGCTCCTTCCCCTAAGACCCTAGCTTCGGAGGTTCCCGGGGACTATGGGCGGGGTGTCCCGAATAGTGGGGCGATCTTGTCAGCCGCCTGTGACTCCCCGCAGCTCCTGGACCTGGTGGCACTGTAGGTGCCACGCCGGGCGGCGAGCTGAAGCTTTGCACGGGGCGGAAACCTGTTTTCTAATAGCTCAGGCTAACCAGGTGGAGGATGAAGGGTGCCCTCCATCTGCCTTGTGGTCTGCTTTCTGCTGACTTTATTGGAGCCCAGGCATTGGATATCCCTTAGTATTAACTGCAAAATCTGTGCCATCTTGTTTTGCTGCACATTCCTTGTTTAATTTCCCCCCCCCCATTTTTGGTGGGAGGAGAAAGGGGATGAGTAGGGACTGGCCTCTGTCAGCGACTGTTATTATTCTCCCCTTTCAAACTAACACTGTGCTGGCTTCGCGAACTGCCCCTCCTCCCGAGCGCTTCCGAAGCTTCCTAGTGATGGATCACTCCTTAGAGAGAAATTTGTTCTTGCAACATGAGTTTTGCAATCGTATGTTTTCATTCGCTGCGTTTTCATTGATAGCTTCTCATCATTTCAGAGTCTGTCTTGCTTTTTGTGTTCTCCAATGTACCTCATTGGCTTTTCTGCCCTATCAAGTAATGGTATTAAAATGAGGATCTTTTAGAGAACCTAGTGAGCCTTTCGAAGGTACTCTGCTATCTAGGAGCCAAGGCGCTTTAGTTGATTTTAAAATTAAGCGGGAGATTGAAGAACGTGAGGTTAGAAAAACATATTAAATTGGTTATAGGAACATTTGAGGCTGGCTGTGCTTATTCGGTTTAAATTTTGTTAGCTCTTTTCATGAATGAGTACTTTTTAAGGGAATATCACTTTTTTAAAAAAATCCTGCTACGTCATAACCTAACCCAACCCAAACCAAACCAATTGCTATTCCAGTTGATAGTGACTCATAGTAACCCCTAACTAGGATTTGGAGATTGGAACTCTTTACAGTAGCAGACAGACCCATCTTTCTCCAAAGAGTTGGTGGTTTGAACCAACAACCTTAGGGATTAGTAGCCCAATGCCTAAAGCACACCACCACCAGGGCTCCTTTGTTGATGGCATAATAATCACTTAAAACTTGATTTCTTGTGGTGGGTTACTTTGTTTTTCTTAATCAATGTTGTTGCTGGTTCTGACCCATAGTGACCTTGTGTAGAACTTCCGAGGAGCGGCTGGTGAGCTTGAACCGCAACTTTGTGGTTCAAACCGACTTTGCAGTACAGTGCAATTAGCCCACAGCGCCACACCAGGACTCCAGTTGTTGTGACTGTTAAGTGCTGTCGAGTCGGTTCCAACCCATAGCGACCCTGTATAAGGTTTCCAAGGAACAACTGTAGCGCTTGAACCTCTGACCATGCGGCTCAAACAACTTTGCAGTCCACCGCATTAGCCCACAGCTCCACACCAGGACTCCAGTTGCTGTTGTTGTTGTTAAAGTACCGTGGAATCGGTTCCGACTCATAGTGAGCCTGCACAGGGTTTCCAAGACTGTAAATCTTTATGGGAGCAGAACGCCATATCTTTCTCCCGCGGAACCGCTTGTAGTTTCGAACTGCGGACCTTGAGGTTAGCAGCCTAATTCATAACCACTACGCTACCAGAGCTCCTTAAGATGTAGTCAAATATGGTCAGATATGAGGAGGCTTCAAAAAGTTCGTGGGGGGGGGGGGGAAGGACTTGAAAGATAATGGAATTCCTCCAGGAATTTTCTGAAGCCCCCTTGTAAGTAGAAGCTTCAAAAGAGGGGTAAATCAAATTTAGGTTCCTGTGAGTAAAATTAAGAGCATTCACATCTATATGACAGTGGCATGAAAAATTGTAGCCTTATATCTTTTTATTTTAGGATCTTTTATTTAGGAGCCTTTCTTTTTCCCGAAAGATGGATTTTTCTCATCTTCTATGCTTCCCTGTGGTTGCATAGCTCCAGTGGGGAGAAAGAAAGATGGAGAACCTATAGAGTTTTCTACTGGGAACCAGTGTTCCTTTCCCCTTAAATTATTTCATGTTCATTAACTAATTGGTTTGAGTTCTGAGAATTAAAATTTATGAAGCTACAATAAGCTTGTCAAAGGCATATACATCATCTTCCTTAGTACTCTACTCTTTGACAGCTGTATAGGTAACTAAGTTTTAAAAATTTAACAACTTGCCACTCTTTAGAACTTTACAGCTGTTCTTTAGAAGTTGTTACACCATTAATTTTGTAAAGCCCAGGATGTATTGTAATTGCAGGCTCAGTCTGAAGTGTGCTGGACAATACTCCTAGGTGGTTTCTTACATATCCCTAGTAACTCTAAACCCCTATGCTATTTTCAGATTGTTTTCGATTGATTTAATTCCTACTAAGACATCTATTTAAATTGTTGAAAGAGACTTTTTTGTTTTTGTTTTTGATGAGGCAATATTGGATTAATTCCATGCTTTAAACATAGTAACATGGTATTTTTCTTTATTATGATATTGTTACTATAGCTGTGTTAGCTGGTGGTAAGACACAGATATCAAGGAGTGTCAAAAGTTCGTGGAAAAATGGAATTAAAGCATGAAGGAATTTTTCTGTGAACTTTTTGAAGCTCCCTGGCCCTTTTGGCTAATATAATTTTAATCTCTTCTTCTTTTGAATAGGCTTTTACTATTTTTTATTATCTAATAAGGAGCTCTGGTAGCGTAGTGGTTACGAATCGGGCTGCGAACCTCAAGGTCAGCAGTTCGAAACTACCAGCTGTTCCGCGGGAGAAAGATGAAGCTTTCTGCTCCGGTAAAGATTTACAGCCTCGGAAACCCTATACAGGGTCGCTATGAGTCGGAACCGACTCCATGGCACATGCCAACAACAACAATGATGGGTAGTATTTTGACTCTGGTAGTGTAGTGGTTATGAATCAGGCTGCTAATCTCAGGGTCAGCAGTTCAAAACTACCAGCTGCTCCGCGGGAGAAAGATGAGGTTTTCTGCTCCCTAAAGATTTACAGCCTCAGAAACCCTGTACAGGGTCGTTATGAGTTGGAACTGAGTCCACGGCACATCACCACCACCATCACAGGGCTTAGCTAGTTATTTGTTCATCTGGGTTCAAGCAACCTAAATTGTAGCAGAATCTATTAATTTCACTTGTTAAGTATACATATGAATAGGCTTCCAAAAATTCATGAAAAAAATGAAATAAAAAGATAATGGAATTTTTCCATGAACTGTTTGAAGTCCCCCTTAAATAGGTGAATGTGTGACATCAGTGCCTTGTTGCTTTACAAATATTTCTTCAGACAAATGGTCTACTATTTATAGAGATAGTCCTCGAAGCAAACCTAGAATTAGATTTCCCAGGTGAAAAAACAAGGAGGGATGATTAATTTTAGTGTGATCATCTCTTAAGAATATTTTTAAAACATCAGTTGATTTACAGATTTTTTTTTTTTATCAAAACATTTTATACACTAAGGTATTTTTGTATTGCAATACGCTGCAAGCACGTTGATGAAAAAAAAATAATCAACAGGATTTGAGTTACTAAAGTTGAACTCACTGGTAAATGCTTACAGAGCATTCTGAAGGGCATCCATCACTGCAAACTGTACATGTCTCTGCCCTGCCTGCAGGTCTGTCTCCCTAACTGTTGAAGTGCTTTCCTTTTGAATCCTCTGGTAATGTCTGCAGGATTGCAACTTCTTATTATATCCTGCACTTACTAAGAAACAACTGGAGTAGATGTACACTTGGATTATTCTAAAAATATCTCAAAATAAAAGTTTTACATTTTCATGGTAAGAAAAAAATGAAACAGAAGTGAATATAAAGTCATAAATTCTGTCTTTTGTCACCCAAATCTCTACTGTTCTTTAGAGTTAGCTATGTTAACATTCTGCAGATTCTGCAGAACTGCCCTCTATACTTATAAATATAGGTATATACGTCAACATACACATCAAATTTTTCGCACTTTTTTCAGTTGAAGATATCTTGGACATTTTTGCTTGTTTGTGCATGTAGCCCCAGCTCTCCCTGTAATAATTGCATCATTGTTAATGTAGCAGTGTTAAGGATCAAGTTACTGTTAAGTGTATCATCTGTAGTGGTTCATGCATTTGTGGTATGATTTCATCTTACTGGGTTCAACAAAATTGATGTTTGTTAATTTATTTAGAATAGTGCTTTTTGCTAAAAGGTCATCCTCAGGAAAGAAAGGT